TGTTTTTAAACATTGTGTGGTGTATAGGCAGACGAGCTCTTTAAGTCCAGTGATATCAACACTGGTAGAAGAAAAGTTGGGATAAACTGGCCATCGATACATCCAGTTTGAAAATTGGAAGGAGGCTTTTGACTATTAGAGCTGTGAAGTTTTCTAAAAGTTTTTAGCAGAGACATTGGAGCTTGATATCCTGCTGGCATCAGCGTGGAGTCTCAAAATCTCTAATCCAATGGGTACTGTCAGCTGTTGCTAATCTGAAAAGTCCCCATTTCTTTTAGAGAGTAAGAAGCAAAACATCTTTTTTTTGTTTAGTGCTAAGATGACAAATCTCATGCAGCACGTACCAAAGAGTATACTTGTGCTCGGTCAGGAAAGACTAGGAAAGCTTTCCGTGCCATGTGCTTCCAGTGAAGACTGCCGTGGCACCAGGCCTTATTCTTCTGTACCAACGTGGCTAGTCTTGAGTTTGAGACCTGAAGTCAGATTGTTAAAGGGCGCTGTCGAATAGTTCCAAGCAATGGCAGACAGTGCAGCCCTTCCTGCTCAGACTGACCCTGCAGATTCCCCAAGGCCAGATCGCCCTTGGATGATCTGCTCTTCCTGGCTGAGGAAAGAAATGGGACTGAATAACAGCAACCAGATGGCATTTCAAGAACTGCATCGGCTTGTGTGCATTAGGATTTCTGACTGTGTCATTCATGGAGGAGGCTGAGTCCTGGCACAGCTTGTTACCATGCTGCTTTAGCTGGACACCTAGCCAGGCTCTCTCTGCCTCCCATTAAGTCTCATTTGGAGCAAGACTATTTGCGGGAGCGGGGAAATAACTGCATCCTGTATGGATGTTGCAGAGCTGTGCAGTGGCAGTGTAAGGGTACAGGAATACACCTACTATTAGAGTGGTGGTGAGCCATTCTTGAACATTTATCTCTTCATTCACGTAGCAATTACATACAAATACAAAGTTGCTATCTCATCACTTTCCTGTAAGAATGGTGATTTATTGCTTGATAAAACTTCCAACAACTTTTTTATTGAAAGCATATTCAGATATATTGTCTTCTCTCAAAAAATATTTCTCATAATCTCAAATTTATTATCATATGAAGATTTTTATTTGGTATTTGAGAATAGTAGTATTGGTTCATATTTCTCGTGGTTAAAGATTGTTAAAGCAATAATTCTCAGCTCAAATGATCAGATAGCAAACAAATACAGAATAAATAACAACAAACACTTTATTTAAATGCTTTGATTAGATGAAAAACAGGACTGTGACATTTATATTCAACCCATCAATAGTTTGTTTTTTTTTCTTTTCTGTGATCCCAAAGGAAAAGATTAAGGTTGAAGACACTAGATGATGTTTTCTCATTAGGTGGAAATTGATACTATGACTTGAACTACTGGAACAGATTGTTACTTTGGCAGTTCATGAAACTTCTCAATAAATAGAAATTAGATTCTTTCTCTTGTATTGTGTGGGTAAATCACTTTTTTAAACCTATAGCATTTTTTTCCTACCTTTCAGGATAATGTAATTGACTTCCAATTCAGGTTTATAAAGTTGTTTGCTGTTTTTAAAGCTCCCCCTCAGTGGATTGAGTGACACTTTAGGAAGATAAGAAAGAAATCCAATTTTAAATAAATGGAGAAAAATCACATTTGCATAGAAAATAATAAAACATATTTTTCATTATCTTTGTTCTGCAGCTGTAGTGCTCTTGCACAAAAGGCATGTATTTAGTGAGTGTGATGTTTCTGAAAAGAAAATGTATTTATGCTGAAATAATGGTGATATTTCATGGTATTTGTATTTTAAGTAGGAAAATCTGTAAATGATATTTTTAAGTCCTACATTTACCTACCTTGCCTTTATAAGGCAACAGCCACACAAAAGAATCTGCTCTTTAAATGATGCTTCAGCAGAAGTCAGTATTATTCTATTGCTCTGGGTTTTTTCAATTATATATTCCATTTTTGTACTGTTTGACACATACCGTGGTAACTCCATGAATGTTTTACACTTTCACTGAAGAGGCAGTCCTGGCCACACAGTCTTGCTTGTGTTGGCACAACCGTGCGTATGGGGGCAAGGTGGAACACATCCAGATTAAAAGCTAGCCTGGCTGAAAATGAAAGCAAGTTTTAACCTGGATGCATTCCCTCACCTGGTTCATGGTGCAGCTGTGTGAAAACTGGTGCCAGTAACGATGATGGCTGAAGAGTAAGCAGTGAGGGCAGGCCCGGGGTGCCTCTTCTGATGGCAATGTCAACTGGTGTCACTTTAATGCATGTGTGTGTCATGTACAAGGTATTGATGTGTTCCTCGAAAACCCTGCTGCTTTCAAGCTCCTGAGTTCATGTGTGTCTCCTTAGAATGTGTCCTTCCTCCATGCCAGAACAAGACCTGGGTACATGGTGTTTCTCCTCTCTGTCACCTTTCCTGTCATTCAGTGCAGACCAGCAGTAAAGCACTGAGGCTGTAAGAAAGTGATCTGCAACATTCTTTCAGCCACTGATGTGGTTAACAGTATTGCGAAGATATTTGCATTGTTAACTTTGTATACAAAGTTTTTGCCTATCCTCATTTTAATACAGTCTGTGTCATCTACATGTATTTTGGATTTGCTGTATGAGTTCTTGTGGTTCCCTGTCTCCCGAAATGGAAATCTCAAATCAATTGGCATAGTAGTAGTTTGTGTGTTTGATTCATTATTTGCCACTAGGGGACACTGATGACCACTGCATTTCTGTGCAAGGATGGGAGCTGTAATAAAAGATGTAAATGTGTTTTCACTTTCTGTCTGCAGGCACCCTTTTCATAATTCTGAAGTCTTCCCTGATCAAAGAATACTTAATCAATTGTTTATTTTTAAGCACTTTTAGATTCAAATTAAGTGTTTCCTCCAGTGATTTACCAAATCAGGATCTTGCTGAGGTTAGAATTCTAGCACAGTATCTATTATTAATGTTTAAGAAATAATATACTGAATTGTTCATACTCTTACTAGACTTCATTCAAATACTATTGATATTTTTTGGATAGAAGATATAATGAACAATGGGAATTGAATGTCTCATTTAATGAATAGAAGGTAATTTGGATATGAGTGGACATCATTCTTCCATAGAGTACTAGGAAAAGTTGACAACGGGTTAGGTACAGATTAGATGCCTGGTTGTTGTGTATAAGAAGTAACTGTAACAAATTGCCCCAAAAATGATAATACACATTTGAAAAACTTAATATTCCCCCAGCCCCCAAAGATAAAAGTTTTAAAATTATGAACTTTGAGTCACGGTCAATGGCTCAATGTCCACATGGAGACCAGTGACGAGTGGCATTCCTCAAGGGACAATATTGGGACTGGTGCTATTTAACATCTTTGGGGCATGGACAGTAAGATTGAATGCACCTTCAGCAAGTTTGCCAATGGCATCAAGCTGCATGGTGTGACTGACACACTGGAGGGAAGGGAGGCCATTCAGAGGGACCTTGACAGGCTGGAGAGGTGGGCCCATGCAAACCTCATGAAGTTCAACAAGGCCAAGTGCAAGGTCCTGCGCCTGGGTCGGGACAATCCCAAGCACAGACACAGGCTGGGCGATGAGTGGATCGAGAGCAGCCCTGCGGAGAAGGACTTGGGGGTGCTGGTGGGTGAAAGACTGAATATGACCCAGCAATGTGCGCTCACAGCTCACAAAGCCAGTCGCATCCTGGGCTGCATCAAAGAAGCGTGGCCAGCAGGGTGAGGGAGATGATTCTCCCCCTCTGCTCTGGTGAGACCCGACCTGCTCTGCTGTGTTCAGCTATGGAGCCCCCAGCACAAGAAAGACATGGACCTGCTTGAGCAGATCCACAGGAGGGTCGTGAAGATGATCAGGGGTCTGGGGGGAAGGATTTATCCCAGTTAGGCAGGATGAGAGGGACATAACATTGCTTATAGTATCAGCATCAAATAACAGAAATAGTTTAGCTGTTGTACAACGTCTGTATGCCATCACTGATGAGAAAAATTTCAATTCCATGATTGATAATGCTTAAAATGGAACACATTGGTGTCCTAAAAATTCAGTGTTTCCCATCTAGGAATAAAGCCAGTCAATAATGATGTACAGTCACTGATAAGAGGCAAACAGTGTATGTGCTGTATTTTTTTATTTTTTTAATTTTTTTTTTAAGCGAAGTTCTAAATATATTCAGGTTTTAAATAACAGGATTTTAAAGTTCTTCCAATGTAGAGAAAAAACTAATGATTAAGAGATCACATTTTGGTTATTATAGAAGAAATGAGAAATAAATAAATATTTCTGCTGTTCCTGATTTTAATAGTCCTGTAACTTAAAAATGATGCATTTTACTGACTTTTCCTTATTTAGCAAAAATCATTGGCTAAAATACATTCTGAAATAATATATAGTTGTAGGTTTTTGGTAGCTTTGTATAATGGTTTATAAAATTTAAATATTCAAGTAATTATTTTTATAAGGCACTTTACACTATATTTGACTTTTGAAAGATGATGCAGAATGGCGTTGATGAAGGGTACATGGCTATTCCTGAGCTTTAATATACTATAATCTATATTGTAACTTAGTTTACTGTGATGTCATTTGCTTTGATCTGTTTACTTTGGTTAGTTCAAATCCTGAGGTAGCATGTAGTATATATTGTGCTACGCTTTTTTAGACCTATACAGCATCTAAAACATGTTGTATTACGCCTTTCTTTCAATTTGTGACTCATACAGTATGTTTTCTGAGGAGAATGCAGAAATGGATCATGATTATTTGAACTAATCTAATGCTTTCAATTTGACTGACATCCCTTGTTGTCAATTGTCTTCACTGAGCGTCTGTTAACTGTAAAAGTGCATACTGTATTTTATCAGAATGAGCAATCCTGACATCTGTAATTAAGTCTCCTCTGTTTCTGCTTTATTTGCTTTAACATTCCTGTCAAACAGATTGTACAAATTGCACATTTGTTTACAAAACAGGTCCAGATTGTTCTTTGAACGTCCCTTCCACGGAGTCTTACTGGATTCTACCAAACGTAAAGCCATTCAGCCCTTCTGTGGGCCGGGCTTCCCATAAGGCAGTCCTACACGGAAAATTTATGTGGGTGATTGGTGGATACACTTTTAACTACAGTTCATTCCAAATGGTGTTGAAGTAAGTGATTTCTCCGATGTCATATCCTTTCTGATGTGGCTTAGGGAAAACAGATCTTGCCGGGGAGGTAGCCACTATCCTGCGATTTAATGGAAAGGATTGTATGTTTTTAGATTATTTTTTAATGGTCTTATTTTCTGCCTGTAATTTTATTATGATCAAAAAAGTGAAAATATGTGTAACTTCAAAGTATATGTAATTTCTTTAGTTTTGGGAAAACTTGCTGTATTTTGCTGCAAAACATAAAAACGTTTGTGGTGATAAAACAGTGAAAGAAATCCGTGTGCTATTTTCAGACAGTACATCTAGAATGCTATCTGCCTTATTGAAGTTAATTTACAATGATAGGAGGATTATATTTAGTGCATGCACCTAGCCTGTTGGTGCCATCCTAGTAGGGTTAGGCAGGTAATCCGTATTTTACTTTATATTTGTGACAATTTGTATGTACGAGTATTTGACCACCTATTGAAAACAAAGTTGGAGCAGCTGTAAATATTACCTATCTGATTCGGGTAGTAACTGTATATACATAGAGGCCCTAAATGTGGAAAACGCAAGTGTTAGAATATGTTTATTAGCATGTTAATTGATCCTATTTTTGGTTACCTCTTGTTTTCTTCCAGACCTTTGCAATTATCCAAAACAAATCTCATAATCTTTTTGGTGTTTTTCTTTTCTACCTCTGTCATTTATTTTTTTAATCTCTCTCCCATCTTGGTGTCTGTTAGTGAATTAATGGATTAATCGTTAATTAAAATTTAATAGAAATTAAAATCAACAATATAACTGAGAGGGTGTTCAACACTAAGTCTTCAAACTAGTGCAAAAGATTGTGACATAAGCAGTTTAGTGAGGTGGTTTTTTTTATGTGGCTAATAACAGTGAGCTTAGCAACCTAGTTTCATAACTTTGTTAGAAGTCTGATGATTTCAACTACAGTCCCATTTTCTGAGATTGTTGATGAGTCCCTGAAAAAGCTGCTCCTGTTTCGCTTGATGAACGTTTAGTACACTATCACAAGTCAGTATGCTGTTGTAACAGTTAAGTGATCGTGTTACTGCTAACAAATTACTACGTCAGATAAACAGTGACCGATCAATTCTGACAAGCAGAAGTTAGTTTGAACATACAAAACCATCTATTCTCTGCAGGTAGAAAATGTTTACTTCTCTATTTCTCTTCTAGCTACAATTTGGAAAGCAGTATATGGAACGTAGTACCTGTATCCAAAGGGCCACTCCAGAGATATGGACACACTCTTGCTTTATATCAGGTTTGGAATCTTCACTATCCTATTTAATGAATTTCTTTGTGTGTGCTGTTAGTGACCTTAAAATGATTCATCATGAACATGAATTTTTGAGGATAATTTAATTTCTAGTCCCTAAACATTATGTATTAGTGTCTTCTTCAGCACTTAGATGTATTGCACAATTTTTGGAAAAAAGATTGTGTGATAGATCTAAGTCACTTATTAGCTGACCGTAAACCCTCAGAGCTAAACCTGCCAATATAAGAGGGCTAACGTAATTGGAATTGTGGTAAGGGAAGGTGAGCTGGGAGCCAAGAGTGACTCTGGTGTGGGCAGTGCCCTCACTGACCAGGCACCATCCCCAGGGGCTGAGCCCAGCAGGCAGAGCCAGGTGCTGCTAGCAGGGTCCTTTGACAGCCCCAGACGTGGCAATTGATGACTGACGTCCAGGGACTATTCATGGAGTCCAGTCAGGAGCACAAGGAGATGGAGCCGGAGAGAGGACTGGAGAGAAGGCTAAACATATGCCTGAGTGGTCCACCCAGGAGACAGGCTTCCTACAGCGCGGGTCCAGGTCCAACCAGGAGGCAGGATCACAAGCAGTCAGGGACTGAGAGTCCGTGGCTGAGCTTCACGTGAGGCTGGTCAGGGCCATTGAGATGTGTTAATTCCCTAAAGGCCGTGACAGTAAGAAATAGATTTTTTTTTTTTTAATGTGATATTACTCTTACTCCAGAACCAGAGCAGTATTGAAATACAAACTGTTGTACTATAACGTTGTTTTACTGTAGCTTCAAATAAATATGAACTACTGGCAGTTTTGCTTCTACAGGTATCATGTGGTCTGCATGCTGCTTTACTGAAAGCACTTTTAAAGGCTTGTTTCACTAAAAAAAAAAAGGGAAAAAGATTCTCCTGATAGAACATAGACAGAAATGATATTTATTAAAAAAAAAAAATAGCCTTTTCTTAATTCATTAATTTTTGGCTAGTGTTAAGTATATCTCCAAAATATGAAGGACCAGAAGTGAATGCAAGGCATAGTTTAGCCTTGTACAGATGATGGTAAACTTGTTAACTGTGACAGATTGCCCCCATCTTTCTTATAGGCGCCCTTTATGTACTGAAAGGCTGCAATAAGGTCTCCCTGGAGCCTTCCCTTCTCCAGGCTGAACAATCCCAACTCTCTCAGCCTGTCCTCATAGGGAAGGTGTTCGAGTCCTCTGATCATTCTTGTGGCCCTTTGGACTTAATCCAACAGGTCCATGTCTTGGGCTGAGGGCTCCAGAGCTGGACACAGCACTCCAGGTGGGGTCTCACCAGAGCAGAGGGGAAGAATCACCTCCCTTGACCTGCTGGCCACACTTTTGATGCAGCCCAGGATGTTGTTGGCCTTCTGGGCTGTAAGCATACACTGCTGACTCATGTTCAGCTTTTCATCCACCAGTACCCCCAAATCCTCCTCCACAGGGCTGCTCTCAATCCCTTCATCCCCTAGCCTTAATCGATATCAGGGGTTGCCCTGACCCAGGTGCAGGATCTTGCACTTGGCCTTGTTGAACCCCAATGAGGTTCACATGGGCCCACTTCTCAAGCTTGTCCAGGTCCCTCTGGATGGCATCCCATTCCTCAGGCATGTCAGCCTTACCACTCAGCTTGGTGTCATCTGCAGACTTGGTGAGGGTGCACTCGATCCTGCCGTTTATGTCATTTATGAAGATACTGAACATACCTGGTCCCAGTACGGACCCCTGAGGGACACCACTCATCACCGATCTCCGTCTGGACATTTGAGCTGTTGACCACTACCCTCTGGATTTGACCATCCAACCAATTCCTCCCCCACTGAAAGTCTGTCTGTCTTATCCATGCGTTCACTGAATTCTGTCCTTTCTGCCTGTTGCTTTTCAGTCTCTTGGTACTGACACATTTTTAAGGAGGGATTTAGATGCTACAGACAGGAGTCAGCTGTTTGGTTCTTAAATTCCTTCAGAACTGATCCTGGTGACTTGTTACTAATGGTTTTGTCACTTTTGTTGTGATGTGGAGGTTTTTTTTTTGGTTTGGTTTGTTTTTGTTTTTTTTTTTTACTCTAAACTTCTGTTACTCATTTCTGCTATGGAAATACCTGTAAAGTCCACCATGAAGAACTCACTTCATTTTATTGCTATGGCTTTATCTTCTCAGAATACTCCTTCAGGTTGTCTGTTGGCACCAGAAATTATCTACCTGGTTGTATTTCTAATGCCTTTAAAAAATGGTTTATTAGTAGTTTATATATAATTTTGCAGGCAATTTATTAAACTGCTTCATGCCTCTGTGTTTTATTCTGTTGGAGTTTTTTAAGCTTTAGTTTTGCAGTATATTTTTTCTTCTAACAGTCTCCAATGTCCTCCTGTTAAGTTAAGCTTTATTTATTTTATTATTTGTAATGGTGTTTTCTTTTTTAATAGGAACCATTCATGTGTTGTCCTCCTGTTAAGTTAAGCTTTATTTTATTATTTGTAATGATGTTTTCTTTTTTAATAGGAACCATTCATGTGATCTGAGCAGATGTCCTTAAAATGTCTACATATTGTCATTAAAGATCTTACCCTTTTATTTGTAACTCTTAGTTTCTTTTTATGATTGTCTTGCATTCATATAGTGCTCCTTTTGAAGTTAAGCAGAATTATAGTTGTGGATGGTTTTGGGTTTTTTTTTGGTATCTGTTGCTCTTACAGAGGTGCTGAATCTGTACATGGCGTGGTTAATATTGCAGAGGTGTTTTTCAGTAGTAATATGAACTAACATGCCTCGACATCAACTCAAAAATTGCTTTTGTTCTCGTCACTTCCCTGATTCATTACTAATGTATTATCTGTTCTTTGAAAGGTCAGATCTTTCTGACCAGTATCTTTGGTTATTACAGTTCTTGTAGAATGTGGACCTTTTAGTTGGGAAACATTCAAGTAATGTATCATTTAGCAGTTCAGAAAAAAGGCTTAAAATACCATTTAACCTTTCTGTTTGACAGTGCTAGTGTTTTCTTGAGGTATTCCAGACTAAAGGGTAACCATTTTAGAGATACTTTTACTATCAAATATTAAATATAATAGCCCTGTGTTAATTCAGAGATCTTTTTGGATCTCAGTGAGGAAATGCAATTCTTGTTAATATTAATAAAAGCTACAAGCAAGTGTGTAGTGAAGAAACTGTTGCTGTTGTCAAAGTCACTTGTTAATTAGTAATTAGAGTTCACTAATAACAACCACAGTACCACTCATGTCAAATAATTAACTAATATGTTGATTATACTAGCGATTATATCAAATGTCAAAAATTACATGGGCCAAAAGGAGCTGATCATCTAAGTTGAAGAAATTTCTAGAGAAAAAGTACATACTTTTGCAGTAAGCTCTTAAATTAACTCTTCAGGATAAACTTTTGATATTTTTCCTTTCAGATGTTCAGTTTTTTGAAGAAAACAGAAAAAATTTAGTGTGAAACATGAGTAGTAGAACATATTACCTAGAGGTGGCAGCTTTGAGTTGTGTACTAGTCATTGTGTAACATTTCCTTTATAGTTGAGAGAAAAAAAATATCCAGAGAGAAGAAATTAGATTAAGTTTTGACTTGAGCTCCTGAGATTTCAAAGCCTAGCGCTAGACTGGAGTGAGAGCACAGAGCTAGTACTGCTGGTTGTGGTGCAAGGTAAATTGAAGCTGTATAATTGACCTGTGGAGAATGTTACTGTACCCATTTCCCTCAGAAAGCTTCTTTAGTTAAAATTGAAGTACTGTACTTCTTTATTCTGAAGAAAAAAGATCAGAAGGCTCCCACTGATGTATAGTTATAACAAGTGACTAAGACTTTTTATGCATTTATAGAGGAGTATAGAAGTGTTCTTGCTTTTAGACCAACTAAGATAGTATTACCTTCAGTGCCTCTTCAGACTGGTTATTGGAAAGATGCTACCTGTCTCTGTTAGGAATTAGTTCTCCTGTATCTCAAAGATTGTATATAGTTCCTGGCATCTTGATACTGAAAAAGGTCAACATACTTTGAAATAATTCACATAAGAAATAGGATTATAAAGAGACTGGAGGAAATGGCTTGTGAGGTTTTTAAAGTAGGTACATATAGCTTTGCTAAACAGTGACTGGATAGGAAGGTAGACAGTAAATTGGAAAGCAGTAGATCCCTGGAATAAAGTAAAAAGGGAGGCGCATACAAGCTGTGTATATGGTCACTGCTGGGCTATGACTTGGCAACAAGCTTGTGGTTGTATCACAAAATTCGACTTTGTAATTAAACTGTTGCTAGTGGCCCCAAGACAGTGGAAGGATGACTGGGCATTGAGATTTGTTTCCTTTGCAGTTGGCAATAGGAATGAAGGAAACGGGCAGGCTGACGTAGTAGTAATTGTGAATATGTTTTCCAGTATATGGACTGTTTTATACGTAGTCAAATTCAATTTGACTCATTTGAGTTTTATGATGTTACTTCCAGTTTTAAAGCTTTTTAAATAAAGGGTCATTGTTTTGATTCCTTCTCCAAATTAATTGGTATTGGTATTGAGTCTGTATATCTCTTTTGGTATCTTTTTATAGTCTAATCAAAAGCAAGTGTTAAAAAAACAAACAAAAACAAACAAACAAACAAGAGTAAACTTTTTCTGATTTAGTATGAGTGAGCCAAAATCTTTCACCAGTTGGTTTACTCTTATTCTTTTAATGCCTATTTTTGTTGGCTATTGCTATTGCATTATAATTTGGAACAGCCCTAAGAATATAAAAGTATTTTCTAACTATTCTATTAATAATTATTAGCAGGTTGTACCACCGATAGTTTTATTATTTTATGACTTTCAATTACATCTAATGCACAACTTGCTTTCTAGTTCTGATTTGCAGACCTCAGAAGTATATGAGAAGTAGGTAAGATGAGCTGTCATACGCTTTGTGCGTGTAGTCTAGATAAAAGCCTGTTCAGAGTTCCTCTTCAATTAACTGGACCGTACTCATCAGGAGATTGGTTTATTTATGTAAAAGGCCAATATTTTTTGTTTGTTGTTTCAACATTATGTTCTTTTGTTTTGAAAGTTGAAGTCTGAGCATGATCGGCTTTTATGTCTAGCAGATCTCAAAGCACATGCTTAGTTAATACTTTTCTATGCAGGCTCTGTTTCTCATTCCTTCCTTCCAGCATGTTTAGTCCAACTATTAAATGTACAGAACATCTGTCTGACATTAGGAACAGATTTGGTTTATATAAGAATTAAGGCAGAAAACTTGTTTCTGAGAGAGAAACTTTTCTATGTAGCCCTGATACAAGTTAAGAAATACAAAATGAAAATTATGTGGTTATGTTAACAAGATTAATTTACTACTAATTCATTAGAAATGGGTTATAAATTACCCCCTTCTTGCATTGTCTTTACACTTTTTTTTTTAATAGTAACTACCAGATAAGATTCTTTTGGAATGGAGTCAGGATTTGCATGACAGTGTAGCACTCCCGGATACAGTCGAAGCAGCTGATAAGTATTTTTCTTTTAGGAAACAAGAAAAATTGCAAAGTCTAAAGAATAAAAATATGATAAGTTTTAGAAAAGTCTTGAATGACTGCATTTATATGAAATCAATATTGTCACTGAGATACGGTGCAGGGAAGAGAGCCTGTCCAAGGTCAAAGGAACAAATGATTTTTGTCTGCCTGTTTGTTCAGGATTGAATGTGAAGTATGCAGAAGAGTTACTCTAGTCTGCTGTATAGTCTGTTGACTGGGACTTGCCAGACAAGTGGGTGCCCTTACTTGCTCTTTTGGTGATCTTACTGAGTAACTTCCTTGCTCTGTTTCAGTTTTTTCTCACTGTAAAATGCTCCTCTGTGGAGGGATTTGAAGTCTTGTTGAAACTACTATGCAAAAGCTAGGTGATGTTGGAGCATGATTTTTCAGGAATTACTAAGTACACAGCCTTGAGTGTCAGCAACATGAGACGACTGAAGTAAAGCATAATGCCATTTTTTATCTTTTTAATGCTTTTAAAAGTAAATATTCCTTTACCTATTTTGTGGAAATTCGGTGAGTTACTTTGTCAGTTTTTATGAAACTTTGAATGCACAGATCACCATTTTAATTTATGATTCCTCTCTTAAAGGTGATTTATTTTTGGATTTGGAGCCTTTATTAATTTACAGGAATTAGTGCTTTCATGTAGATCCTGACTTTCTTCATTACTGTAACTCTAAGGATAAATGCACATTGTAAGATTTTATGCAATGATCAACTGATGTGATCTGTCGGTGTCATGAATATCATGAATGAGCGAGCTGCCTGTCTGCTCAGTTTACAGCAAGCAATTTCTCATTTTTGTTGGAATTCCCTACTGAGCAGGAACTCTGAATTATGAGTTCAATACACAATGTATTTTTATACACATTGATTTGCCTTTGGTAATATTTATATGAAATTTTCATTGAAAAAACACAGGGTCTTTAAAGGTTTCTATAACTTAAATATTTTTATTAATGTGAGCCAATGTATCTGAAATGACTGAGGCTAATTTATTGATTAAATGCTTACCTTCACTGTCTGCCACTGATTAAAAGTGTTGCTTTTGACATGTGGTATCAAAACTTTAAAATATGAGTGTGTTAGAGGCCTTGTATCTTCTTGGTGCTTATCTGCCAGTTTTGTATTCTGTTCCTTGGACAGTCTGCCTTATGGTCTTGTCCTTCCTCCAGGCTGAGGAGTACAATTTTTAACATCTTCTATCTGGGCCAGATTCTTGACACTTTTTCCTCACTAATTTCATAAAGACTCTCAGTTTTATGCCTTTTTTTTTTTTGTTGTTTTTCATGTCATTCCTGTTGTGGTATACAATCTTATTATAAACACATGCCTGGTATGCTTTATTCATTTAAAGGTCAACAGTTGTTGTGTACTAGCAGCCTTGAAACTTTATCTTGTGTATTGTGTCTGTCAGAAAGCCTCACCTTTAGCATGTACCTTGATTTAGACTTAGTTTATAAGTAAGTTGTAAAGGTACTATAAGTTTATAAGGGGATTCCTTCTTTTCTTTCACAATGGTTAGTGTGCCTAGAAACATCTGCACTTGTATCCTTCCTACAATGCCTTCCTGATTAAGCTTTCCAGATAAATGTCCACCTTTATGTGCCTAGGACATTGGGTTTTTTTGTCTTGCATAACTATGCATGTAACATTATTTTATTTTCATTCTGTATTTCTTCTACTGACTTTGGTCTGTGGGCCTTTCTTTCTCCATGTTCAGCTGATCATCAGTAACTTTTAAAGTGTTTTTCATCAGCACTAGGAGCTTCTTAATCTCAGAAATAGCCCTGGGCAAAGCTTAGTTAAATCTGTTTTTGTGGTTGATAAAGCAGTTGTCATGACCTTCTTGTCTTTTTCTCTGTGAATAGTCTTGTGTACAGGATCTGCTGTGTCATTTATAAAGATTGCTCCTCACAGAAGTGTTCTTTTATCTGAACTTTGAATCATTTAAGCAGAACTATGAGGAGGACTTTCTTACTGTCAGCTGTCTGAGTAATCGTTTCAAAGTTCATGTAGCTCTTTAGGTCACCTGTTTCGTGTAGTGTCTTTCCTCAGTGTCAGTAAACTTTTTTTAAAAATACTGTTATACAGCACCTGCAACTCCCTAATTAGTCCCCTGTTTCTGCTGTAGTCTGTTAACTGCATTTAAAAATAAATAAGTAGTTAGTCCACTATGTTAGTGACGCCGATTTGCATTTTGAGATCTGTATGTAATGAATGAGCCCTGTAGGATTCTTTTAAGAAGAGTATTTGTTCAAGCCATTCCTTTGGATCAGTGCACAGCCTCCTTTCAGCTTTTATGGGTCTTCACCAAACTCTTTGAGATGTTATTTTGTCTCATGGGAAAAGAATGGCTTCAGATATATATACTTAATCCTACTACAGA